TATTGTAGAGCTTCTGATGAAGAATCAATAAAGACTCGAAAGCTAGAACAGCTTGTTGACTGCTTACCCGAAAATTACAAAAGATTCTTCCTTAACTTAGACAGTCTTCACACAACTTATAATCAATATAGATAGATTCGCTCTTTTCTTCTGATTCCAAAAATGAACCAGGAACACTGAATTCTTGGTATTTTCTTCTCGAATTGAGTGGTTTCCTTCCAGAGGGAGTAAAAGTATTAACATGCGGTGAAGATGTGACAAACTAATTGAACAGTATCACCACTCCTGAAATAAATGTGTTACACAACACATAATCACCATGATCTTTACGAGTCTATGTTTACTTATTCAGGCGACATCTATTTTAATCATTAACGACATATTTTACGGCTTCATCTAATTTTATCAATTTGTTTATATCAACGCGCAAAGTACACAAAAGTGGGTGGAGGACGTGCCCTATAAAATGGAAAACGAAAAATTTAGTTTTTTGGCTGACAAACTAACAGCCCTAAATATAGAAGTCGAGATGATTCATTGGGGGGACGAGTCCTGAAAATAGAACTGGAGATGAACGTTAACCATGAAGTCGGTCTGTTGTTTTCGTATGTGCAGGAGACGCAAGGTGTGTTGAGACAGGTGAATTTGGCAGCGGTCCGGCTATTAGTTCTGGCGGATTGGGTTCTATGGTTGTTGACGACGTGAGTGTTTGGCAGACGAACCGGTTCGATGAAAAATACGGCTGGATTTGATGAATAACCTAATCCAACGAAAACATATCTGCCACACATCAGAAAGGCAATTCACTATTTGAATCAGGAAGTATCAGGAAAAACTCTAATAACGTTTCACAAAAACCCAAAAAAGCCATTGTATGGCAAAACACGTGTTGTGATTTTGTAAAACTGTTTAGTAAAAATCTCACAATAAAGTGTTTTTTGAAAACGTATAATTCATGGGATCGCTACACAAAACAGGGCTTTTCATGATGAGCGTTAATTAGCCGTTTCTGACAAACTATTTAACGGATCAACCTGAAAATTCCACAGTATGCATAAGTCAATATAACCTACACGCCCAAAATTTTTTAGACGAAGCAGCGTTGTCGCTTCTACTATAAAGTAGCGGCTTCTTTGGTTTTCAAGTGGAACACCCCGTATATAATATTATATTATGATTCATTATCACTTTGTCAACAAATTCATATACTATTTACCTATATCTATCTATTACCGTTTAGAAGATATAAATTAATTTCGATATTTTCTTTACCAAACATGAACTTTTATAAATNTTAAATTAACTCATTAATTTATGGGTTTATTATTTTCAGTTCGTGTTTCAGCGTTAATAAAACTATTGTTTGAAGAGAAGTTTCATTCGATGATTGAGGAGTATTTTAATAATTATTTTTTCATTGTATCATCTGTGACTAATTGAGAAACATCAAACAAAATCTGTTTTACAAAAATGAGTGATGAACAAGGAAACCATGTCAATTTCCGTTTGAAACAGATTATCTCGAAAACGGTTCAAAATAGAAATAGTATTATCTGAATAAAGTTAATCTAAAATTGGATGTAGAGCTCAAAAATGTTGAAATGTACAGGGTGTTCCATTTGAAAAAATTGAGTTCCACTCAATGAAGAAAAATGCTCCAATTTCTGCTCTCTCATGGCCACGGACCATGCAGAGAAGGGGATCCGAACTCCTGACAACTTTACAGGCTGTATCCAGTACTATTCTGTCATGTAGACATTCCCAACTCAAAAGTCCACTGCCTCGCTCTTGTCGGGGGAAGTACAACCATAGAACGGACGATTTGGGATGCAAACTCCTATAGAAATGCATCAGTTTTTGAGTCTTTTCGTTGAGTTAATACAGCTCCTCCCGAGTCCACTTCACTACTCCAAATGAGTAGAGTAAGATTGGAACGGCAAGCATATTTGTTGCAGCAACTTTGTTTTTCCCCGACAGTTCCGATGACCAGATCTGACGAAGTTTGTGCTGATACTTGCCGTGGAGAGAGTTATTATTATTATTATTATTATATTTATACCCTGAAAGTTTGTAAGGAAATTTGTTCAAAGGGTGTCTCCCCAAGCAACACCGGATTAATTCACCGTAACTTCCTCCAAATTCTAATATCGTGGTGATTCGTCATGAAATTCTGAAACCAACTAATCCTGATTAAGTGTTCCCTAATTTCGCAGATCTCGCTCGCATATCGCATATAATTGCCTCCAAGCAAACTCATTCCCGACTCAGTTATTCCAAGTTGGCAACGTTACACAGGAAATCACTCAATCCGAGAAACTTCATAAATAACACCGAAATAAAGCGCCGATTCTGAAATTACCTAACACCGGAAATTCGGCAGGAATAGCGTTTGACGGAGAAGTCCACACACGTCCATACGGTGTTCCATTGTTCCGTTCGTTATGGATATTCAGAAGAGTTATTAACGGTGGTTCATTGGTTCTACAGTGACAAATAAGAAATTTTTATATTAGTTCAGTTGAATGTTAGAAGTTTGGACTTTCATTGTCGAAAAAAAAATATTTGAGGTTATGGTAGTTTACGACTTTTTCCATGAGTTTTGATATCACTTATAGCAAAGCGACTGGTCTATAGTTGTTTGGAAGATTTTTCTTGCCCTTTTTGGGAAGGAAGGAAAACCCTTTTCTTGTAAGACAGGTTGAAAAGTCCGCAAAATACTGGTGCTAGTTCATTGGCGCACTTTTCAAGTACGATGACGGGCACTTCATCAGGGCCAGACGCCTTTTTGATATTGAGCTGTTTCAAAATCCGCCTGACTAGACGCCCGCGCTGTCGAAAAGTAATTTCCGGCATTGTACAATGCAATATTGAAATTACTGGAAATACTTTTGTGAAGAACTCAAGGTACTTTCTTAGATAGATACTTTATTTGGCTACGTTGAAAACATGTTGAAACTATTTCTAGCAAGTCACATACACAGAGAAAGGGTTAGGTTAGGTCAGGTCCAAATTGAGTGGGTCTATTCGACCCTCCACCGCAACCCGCAAGGGTTTATTGATACAAGGTCAATCACGGCAGAACCCAGCGTTACCGTGACAAGGCGCTGCTACGACGTACCGCAGAGACAGCTGATAGGCTCAGTGTCATTCATTCTCTCGGCATGGATACACACACCTTAGTTAGGATCAAGCCATCGTTGGGGTGCCATTCAGTTAGGGAATAACAGAACCACAAGTGATTCTGTCATTCCCGTATCCAGCGGGGCTACGTGAAAGCAGGCATTCGATGGTACACAGTGTTTATAAACACGAGAAAAATAATATAAATAGGGTTGCTGATAACACAAGCATGATAAAACTATCTTAAAATTGGTACATTTGATGATAGGTGCTGAATAATAATCAAT